ATTATCTTTTTTTAAATTTGTGATGCATCACAACGGATCCATTAACCATATCATAAACATTTGTTAAAGACTGTATTTGGCATCTGAGCATTAGTTTGTGGCCTGCAGAGGCTCATGGGGTACTTGTTAATTTCTTGCTCAAAGCACCACTTCAGACAGGGGTTTTCACTCATAACTTTAAAACAAAGTGTATGAGAAAGGTGTGTTTCATTCAGATTTCAAAGTGGAAACACTGATTAACCTTAACATCGAGATAAAAACAGTGGTCAGCGTCAACTCATTTATGTAAAAAACACTGAAGTTTTCCATAAGAGCCAAATAAAAGCTTAAAGCTCTCATCTTACCACCTCCCCAGCCCAGTGACACAGACGTGTTCAGAGCTGTCTCAGCAGACGGGGATCAGATCCCCCAGACTTCTCAAGACAAATGGTTGCCTGTTTGTGGAAGCTGCAGGGGGAACGCCTGGCAAATGGGAGCTCTCTGTTCCCCTTTCTCTTCCACTCCAACTCCTGTTGGGTCACAGGGGATGGATACGGAACTAGGAATGTGCTGTTGGTACAGTCTCGTTAGGGCATCAGACCAGTTACAGGAATACCCACTCATAGCTCAAACTGGCGTGGAAAGGAGAACTGTTACACAAAGAGCCTTTCCTGGTATCTATCCCTGGTCTGTTGCGTTGTGCTCGCCCTGCTGGTGTCCCTCTGGTTCTCACCATTGATGTTCTCAGATTTTTCTTTTTTTGTCTCTCCATCAAGCAGCTGAGGTCAGATTCCCACAGTTAGACAGTGTGAATGACTTTTTCCCTGAAGGAGTATACTTTTTTAGAGATGGGCAGAAAAACACAGAACTTGTGATTTCACATACCTGTATAATTAATTTACAACTCATTTATGTAAAAAACACTGAAGTTTTCCATAAGAGCCAAATAAAAGCTTAAAGCTCTCATCTTACCACCTCCCCAGCCCAGTGACACAGACGTGTTCAGAGCTGTCTCAGCAGACGGGGATCAGATCCCCCAGACTTCTCAAGACAAATGGTTGCCTGTTTGTGGAAGCTGCAGGGGGAACGCCTGGCAAATGGGAGCTCTCTGTTCCCCTTTCTCTTCCACTCCAACTCCTGTTGGGTCACAGGGGATGGATACGGAACTAGGAATGTGCTGTTGGTACAGTCTCGTTAGGGCATCAGACCAGTTACAGGAATACCCACTCATAGCTCAAACTGGCGTGGAAAGGAGAACTGTTACACAAAGAGCCTTTCCTGGTATCTATCCCTGGTCTGTTGCGTTGTGCTCGCCCTGCTGGTGTCCCTCTGGTTCTCACCATTGATGTTCTCAGATTTTTCTTTCTTTTTTGTCTCTCCATCAAGCAGCCGAGGTCAGATTCCCACAGTTAGACAGTGTGAATGACTTTTTCTCTGAAGGAGTATACTTTTTTAGAGATGGGCAGAAAAACACAGAACTTGTGATTTCACATACCTGTATAATTAATTTATTATGTAAATAAATAATATGAAAATTGGGAAAAATACATTAACCAATGCGGGAGAAATTACTTTCGATCACAACAGGCAACTGTGTGGCAGCAGGACTCACCAGGCCACGCAAGCAGGAGGGGGACGGGCTGAGAAGATGCATGGGGGGTGCTACAGGTTCTGAGTTACCAGGAGCAGATGGGAAATAGATCAAATAAAACAAAAGAGAAAAGGATTGCAGATGTTTCAGTTGCAAAAAAAATCTTGACAGCAAACAGAAAAGAATACACTTGTTCTTAGAACAAGTTTAGAATAATACAATATATAATAGTGTTTTAATATAATATATTAATATGTAATTAATATATAATATTGCCATTTGAAGTGTATGAAATCTGCAGGGAAATAGCAGAGTTCTCCAAGACCAAAAAATCTACAGCTATGCTAATTTGGAAACAAAAGGAAAAAAAGAAAACCCCACAAATCCATTTACATGAAAAAAATCTTCTATTCTGCTAACAGGATTGTAAGAATAACTTTTTTGTGTGCCAGAATGAGAATGTAAGCCTGATTTTAATTCCGTTGTTACTGTCTACTGTCCAAGCAAACTGCATTTGAATAAGCAAAGTGGGAATCGGTAATACCTGAAAGCGTTTGATTCCGTTAAATACTAATCACTCATGCAAAAATAATACTTGTACTTCCCACACACAGTGTCAAATTTACAGTATCTAAGGAACTCTAAAATGACAGTGGCCATAAATAGGTGAAGTAAGTATAGCTATTTCACCATATGGAAAACTTTAGCTGTATCATTCTCATTAATCAGAAACTGCATAAGTAAATTTCTCATCCAGCTACGTGTTCCAAATGCTAAAATCCTATTTTATGTAAAATACTTGGTCCATTAAAACAGGGCTTTTTCTATCATCATTTGCTGGTTTTTGCTTTCTTGTGTTCTCACATGACCATTGACCATGTGATCTGTCTCAAACTGTGTATCAGAGAGTGTTTGAGGTTTGACTTCCTCCGTTCCTTCTCGTACTCCTAAGACATGAAAAGCCTGCTAAAAAATTCATGTCAGGAGTCTAGGGCCCTTTGAGACACAATGCTAGAAATCAAAATTGATCTCAGCTTAAAATACTCAGCTCTAGCACCTCTCCTTGCCCAAATGTAGGACACAGTCAGCACGTGCGATCGCTTATTCATTAGGACAATAAAACAGCACGTAGGCAACAGAGAGACAAGGTCCGTGAACTGGAAATGACTGGGAATGACTTAGCCATGGAGATACACAGAAAAGTAAGCACTGCCTCCCCGAGGATTCTGAAGGTAATGTTATTTTACTAAAATCCAACTTGTTTTAGGTAAAATTATTTTGTGTAACTCAAACTAGTTTCTTCTGATTGTCCATATATTCAAAACTACTTCAATTTCAGTTTTGTGTAGAAGATGATAGAAAATAAAGCTTCAAGTTCTCTTACTTCATCAATAGGAAACTGCAGCGTTGCGATTTACTCTTCATTCCACGTTTAAATTATTATCTTTTTTTAAATTTGTGATGCATCACAACGGATCCATTAACCATATCATAAACATTTGTTAAAGACTGTATTTGGCATCTGAGCATTAGTTTGTGGCCTGCAGAGGCTCATGGGGTACTTGTTAATTTCTTGCTCAAAGCACCACTTCAGACAGGGGTTTTCACTGATAACTTTAAAACAAAGTGTATGAGAAAGGTGTGTTTCATTCAGATTTCAAAGTGGAAACACTGATTAACCTTAACATCGAGATAAAAACAGTGGTCAGCGTCAACTCATTTATGTAAAAAACACTGAAGTTTTCCATAAGAGCCAAATAAAAGCTTAAAGCTCTCATCTTACCACCTCCCCAGCCCAGTGACACAGACGTGTTCAGAGCTGTCTCAGCAGACGGGGATCAGATCCCCCAGACTTCTCAAGACAAATGGTTGCCTGTTTGTGGAAGCTGCAGGGGGAACGCCTGGCAAATGGGAGCTCTCTGTTCCCCTTTCTCTTCCACTCCAACTCCTGTTGGGTCACAGGGGATGGATACGGAACTAGGAATGTGCTGTTGGTACCGTCTCGTTAGGGCATCAGACCGGTTACTCATAGCTCAAACTGGTGTGGAAAGGAGAACCGTTACACAAAGAGCCTTTCCTGGTATCTATCCCTGGTCTGTTGCGTTGTGCTCGCCCTGCTGGTGTCCCTCTGGTTCTCACCATTGATGTTCTCAGATTTTTCTTTTTTTGTCTCTCCATCAAGCAGCTGAGGTCAGATTCCCACAGTTAGACAGTGTGAATGACTTTTTCCCTGAAGGAGTATACTTTTTTAGAGATGGGCAGAAAAACACAGAACTTGTGATTTCACATACCTGTATAATTAATTTATTATGTAAATAAATAATATGAAAATTGGGAAAAATACATTAACCAATGCGGGAGAAATTACTTTCGATCACAACAGGCAACTGTGTGGCAGCAGGACTCACCAGGCCACACAAGCAGGAGGGGGACAGGCTGAGAAGATGCATGGGGGGTGCTACAGGTTCTGAGTTACCAGGAGCAGATGGTGACACAGCTTCCCCCTGTGCAGACGCTGCTCTGCCATACCAGGATCCTTCCCAAAGCTGGTTATTTCTGCTCCAAATGCGTATGTTTTAAGCCAAGTGCACCTGGGTGTGGGCAATCCCCAGTATCAATACAGACTGGTGGCTGCAATGGATGGAGAACAGCCCTGAGGAGAAGGCCTCAAGGACACTGGTGGGTGACAAACTTGGGTACGAGCTGGCAATGTGCACTGGCAGCTCAGAAAACCATCCCCATCCTGGGCTGCATCAACAGAAGTGTGGCCAGCAGGTCACGGGAGGTGATTATACCCCTCTACTCTGCTCTGGTGAGACCCCACCTGGAGCTCTGTGTCCAGCTTTGGAGTCCTCAGCACAGGAAGGACATGGACCTGTTGGAACGGGTCCAGCGGAGGGCCACGAAGATGCTCAGAGGGATGGAGAAAGAGTTGGGGGTTGCTCAGCCTGGAGAAGCAAAGACTCTGGGGAGATGTTATTGCAGCCTTTCAATATATGAAGGGGGCTTAAAGAAAGACAAAGAGGGACTTTTTGCTAGGACCTGTAGTAACAGGTCAAGGGCCAATGGTTTTAAACTGAAAGAGGGTAGATTTAGATTAGACACTAGGAAGAAATTCTTTGCTGTGAGGGTGGTGAGGCACTGGAACAGGTTGCCCAGAGAAGCTGTGGCTGCCCCATCCCTGGAGGGGTTCAAGGCCAGGCTGGATGGGGCTTGGAGCAACCTGGTCTCCCGGGGAGAGGGAGGGCGCGGGCGGGCCCAGCGGAGCCGCGGGCCCAGCGGCCTTTCGCGGGCGGAGGCGGCGTGAGGCGCTTCCCTTCGCCCCGAGGCGGCGGGGGGTTCGGCAGCGGCTCCAGCGGCCTTTGTGGGGGCTGAAGGTCTCTCCCCTTTCTCCCCCCGGGGTGGGCTGCGTGGGGCGCTCACCGCCTGACGGGCCCTGCCTCCGCCAGGGGTGGTTAACACCATCGCCAAGTTGGCCAAGAGCTGCACCCTGCGCCTGACGGACAGCAAGCTGTACTTCATCCTCTCCGATAAAGTGGCCAATGGAGGCGCCAGCATGTGGTGTGAGCTGTGCCAGGTGAGCCCGGGGACCCTCAGGAACCCAGCACCAGCGCGGGCCGGCGGGCCGGGTGTTTGCAGCCCGGGCGCTGAGGGCCCTCCTTCTGCAGTGCCACCTCTTAGTTGCTCAGGGCTGGTGTTTCTGGCTGTCCCCATCTGAGGTAAAACACAACCTGTTCAGTGATTTTACATCTCAGCCAGGCCTCTTCGAACTCTCTGAAATTAACGGCATGTTGTGGAGAAAACTGCTCCTTCTCAGAGCGATAAGGCCAATGTCTGTGCCCCATGCCAAGGAACACGCAGAGAGGCCCTTGCTTATACTCATTGCTATAACAACCAAGGTCAGCCAATTTCATTAATTGCCCCATTAAGAGGGTCAGAAGCAGCAAAGCGTAGAGGGGTCCCACCTGTGGGGAGGAGGGGACAGGAGAGGTGACCCCAAACCTGACCAACAGGGTGTTCCATCCCATCTGCCCCGTGCTCAGGGTAAAAGCTGAGGGACCAAAGGGTCAGCTCTCTCTTGCTCCAATGGCCGACGTCCAAAGAGGACTCTGTCTGTCCATCTGCCTTTGATCCCCATCCGTGTGTTCCTGACTCCAGAGCTGGAACCCAGTTCCCATCCGTCGCTGAGTCCAGGCTGGGACGTGCCCAGTGCCTGCTGGGGATGGACTGGCATCCTGGGAGCTTGATACGGTTTTCTGTATATTGTATCTATTTTCATTATTTTCTTCTTTTTGATTTTAATATTAATTCTTCATTAAAGTAGTTTAGTTCATTCTAAACTCATAGATCTCTTTATCTCTTCCTCTCCTCTCTTTTTTGGGGGGGGTCATCTGTCAGTCTGGTTTTGGTAAATTTGGCCGAAACCACAATGCTGGCTAGACATCCCCTTTACCTTGATTTTTGCTTCAGTGTGTTCTGTCCCACAAGGGCCTGTCCAAAACTGGAGACAGGAAAGTGTAACTCACCTGTCATGCCCGTGTTTTGAGGACTGATAGGTGTTAGGGGAGGATCTGAAATTAACAGAATTTAGCCTGAAGCATTGGGACCTCACACTTGTGCAGGTGATGCCAGGCAGAAAAAAGCTTCCCATTGCACACATGCAGTTCTAAACTTAAGACCTGGTAGATAAAACTTACCCCTCTCTTTGTTGTGGTTTGTTGTGGTTTTTTTTTTTTTTTGCATTTGCTACATTTTATTTCCCAACTTTCAAAAACTGCAGGGGAATTTCTTCGATGAATTTCAGATGGAAGGAGTAGCTGCAGAGCACAATGAAATCTATTTAGAGTTGGTGCCTGAGAACCTGTCAAGAGCATTGAAAACTGCCCAGAGTGCTAAGGCAGTGAAGATCAAGTTGACTAACAAACACTGTCCCTGTCTCAGAGTTGCTGTGGAGCTAGTAAGTACAACCATGTTTTTATCTTCATTATTAAGAAAAAGCTCTTAAAATTAAGTGCTTTTCCTAAGATCAAACAGATGCTTTAGTAGTCTTTGGTGTAATTCTAGAAAACTAAATAAAGAAAAATCATGCTGTTTTCCTAGCCTTTCCTAGCCTTTCCATTTCACTAGCCTTTCCTTTCATGGGTGGTAGCACACAGAACCAGCTTTGTATTTTCCAAAAGGCAAGGAAGAGATGGAGGAAGGATGAGAGCTATGTGATTGAAACGCCTCTTTCTAATGTCTACTTTTCTCCATTCCTTCATTCTCTAAATCTTCTGTGGATTATTGCCTTCTCATTGAAGCCATTAAGTGAAGGAGTTTTCAGTGTAGTGTTTGGCTCTTTGTTTTGCTGCCATTCCACTTCAAACTGCTGTCTTCTGAATTTTTTTGTTGTTAACATCTCATCACTGAGTCACCTCTTCAGCTCTAAGGATAGCTTATAGATACTAATGAGTGATATCTCATCACCTCTTCTGTATTCAAAAGGGAAGTCTGCTTAATAGGCACCTGTGGAAGACTGGAACTGAGTGTCTGGGGCTCTCAGTATTTCCCAGAGTGGGTCTGAAAAACTTGAATTCAGAATGCAAGTCCTGTTTTTAACTGCAAGAGTATCCTTTCTCTCCTTCAAGCCAGTTTAGTATTTCCCAGAGTGGGTCTGAAAAATTTGAATTCAGAATGCAAGTCCTGTTTTTAACTGCAAGAGTATCCTTTCTCTCCTTCAAGCCATCCTTATCAAGCAGCAGTAGGATTGTGACACATGACATTCCTGTGGGGGTTATTCCCAGGAGATTATGGAATGACTTCAGAGAGCCCCGTGTGCCGGATTTTGATGTAAGCTTCTGGTTTTATATTCCCTATGGAAAGGGGAGGTTGCAAGTGGGATGCTCTTGCTGCGGAGTATTCTACCAGTGGGTTTTGTAGAGGAGGTGTATCAGGAACAGCGTGGCGAGTAGGGCCCGAGAGGTGATTGTCCCCCTGTCCTGGGCACTGGTGAGGCCTCACCTTGAGTACTGTGTCCAGTTTTGGGCCCCCTACCATAAAAAAGACATTGAGGTGCTGGAGCGGGTCCAGAGAAGGGCGACAAAGCTGGTGAGGGGTCTGGAGAATAAGTCTGATGAGGAGAGGCTGAGGGAGCTGGGGTTATTCAGCCTGGAGAAGAGGAGGCTGAGGGGAGACCTTATTGCTCTCTCCAACTCCCTGAAAGGAGGGTGTAGAGAGGTGGGGGTCGGTCTCTTCTCTCAAGTCACAGGCGACAGGACGAGAGGGAATGGCCTCAAGTTGCACCAGGGGAGGTTCAGGCTGGATATTAGGAAAAAATTTTTCCCTGAAAGGGTTCTCAGGCATTGGAATGGGCTGCCCAGGGAGGTGGTTGAGGCCCCATCCCTGGAGGTGTTCAAAAGATGGGTTGATGTGGTGCTGGGAGGTATGGTTTAGTGATGATGCTCCTTGTTTGTTGTGCGGGTGTTTATTTTTGTCAAAATTAGGTTGACGGTTGGACAAGATGATCTTTAAGGTCCCTTCCAACCTAGAAGATTCTGTGATTCTGTGAAAGAGGGAAGGCTGGAAACTAGAGGTTTGGGGAGGGATGTGATTTGGAAGGGATGCGGCTTCCATCTTGACAAGAGATTTCAGAACCTGTGGAAACAGAGCAGGTGGTTACCAGTTGTTGCTGTGATATTCAGGGTGGAGGAAGGGAAGCGCAAAGGAGTCGCGTGGCTTTAGGCAGGAGCACCTTCAAACCACACAGGTTTAGACTGTTTCAGCTATATAGGTACCAAGTGGCCCAGATAATCTGATCTTTGTTAAATTCTTGGGCTGCATGTCCGAGTTAGGTATAGATGTATTTCCTCCCTCCTTTTTGAGTTTAGCAGAGTTGCAAGGAAAGGTCTTTGTGTGAGTGCCCTCCTATTCGAGGTTATGGGTATCTGTTACCTCAGTAACTAAGAGTATTTTAGTTCTGAAGACATATGAGTCAGTAGAAACTTGATGTATTTTGTTCTGTTATCTCAGATTTATACTGATGCAGTTCCAGAAATTATTACAGTATTATGGGAATTGTGTTCTTTCCTTTTTGGCTATAGTGACTATTGACTGCTTAATAACACAGATGTGGGTTCATGTGAGAATCTGGTTTGCAAAAAACTGTCTCTGCTTGTTTTGAACACAGACTTGGGATAGTATGTCTGAAGCAATTGCCAGAGCAGTGGCCTGTTGGTATAATGGGATAGTCTTCCTCTGTTCCTGAGTTATTTGCTAATTTCAGTTAAATATTGTGTTCCCTGCACTCATCTAAGTCTCAAATAAGATAGAATTGAAGGGAGAAATAAATGCATCACATCCCTGTCACACATGAAATGTTTGTGCAAATGCATTTCTTGTGTCTTTCTAGGTCAGCATTTACCTACCAGCGCTGAAAACAATGAAGAGTGTTGTGGAGAGAATGAAGAATCTCAGCAATTCCATTGTAAGTTAAGGCACTTGAGGTGTGTGTCCTACAGACCTTATTTTTATCTTGGACATAGCATGTTTCCCTGTTGCCCAAACTGGTGCCCCTGTGTAATATATTATTTTGGGGTGGGTCAGACATTGAACTAAAGGCACTTGAAGACTCTGTAAGGGCTGAGAGAATGATGAGGTTTACTTTAGGATTCACACTGAAGAGCTCATCCTGGACTTCCCAGAAAGTGGTGCTCTTTGTACTTGAATCCTTGAAAGAACATGACATTGTGTTGCTAGAAGCCACTTTTTATAGCTGGTAAAAAATTGCAGTCCTTCAGGAAGGTAGCTGGAGACTTTCCAGGTGATTTCATTACAGAAACGTCTATTAAGTGAGTCTTGTGTTAGGTGTGTGTGTGAATGAATTTTAGCTAACCTTGAGGTAGGATTTAAAGGAAATCCTAGCAATAGCTGGGTGTCAGTCTGTGCTTTAGACTGTGACGTGGTGTGGTGGTGTAAACGCAGCCAGCAGCGGAGCACCACGCAGGCCTGGTGCAATGGGGGAGGGAACCAGAGGAGTAAAAGTGAGAGAACTTGTGGGTTGTGATAAAAGCAGTTTAATAAGTAAAGCAAAAGCTGCGCACGCAAGCAAAGCAGAACAAGGAATTCATTCGGTGCTTCCCAGCAGCAGGCAGGTGTTTGGCCATTCCCAGGAAAGCAGGGCTGCATCGTGGGCAGTGGTTACTTGGGAAGACAAATGCCATCGCTCCCAATGTACCCCCCTTCCTTCTTCATCCCCCAGCTTTATACACTGAGCATGACATTGCAAGCCATTGTACAGTAGAGAATATCCTTTTGGTCAGGTGTGGTAGCTGTGTCCCCTCCCAATTTACTGTGCACCCCCAGTCTGCTTGCTGGTGGGGTGACCTCAGAAGCAGAAAAGGCCTTGGCTCTGTGTAAGCGCCTTTCTGCAATACCTAAAACATCCCTGTATTGTCAACAGTGTTTCCAGCACAAATCCAAAACCTTGTCCCATACTAGCTACTATGAAGAAAATTAACTCTAACAGTAGAGAATATCCGGTTGGTCAGGTGTGGTAGCTGTGTCCCCTCCCAATTTACTGTGCACCCCCAGTCTGCTTGCTGGTGGGGTGACCTCAGAAGCAGAAAAGGCCTTGGCTCTGTGTAAGCACCTTTCAGCAATAACTAAAACATCCCTGTATTGTCAACAGTGTTTCCAGCACAAATCCAAAACCTTGTCCCATACTAGCTACTATGAGCCTTTCTGCAATACCTAAAACATCCCTGTATTGTCAACAGTGTTTCCAGCACAAATCCAAAACCTTGTCCCATACTAGCTACTATGAAGAAAATTAACTCTATCCCAGCCAAAACCAGCACACATGGTGGGTTTCCAGTCCACCCTGGGCTTCTGGAGTGCTGGTAGGCCTTCTGTTGAAAGAAGCCCTCTGCAGTTGGCTAGAACAGGGTTTTGGTTTTCTTTTTTAAATTCCGTTGCTCACAATCGCTGGAATTGACTGACATGAAAGTTAGTAAGCATAGAGGTTTGGAATATTTTGGCTTCATACCTATTTTTATAAATGGAAAATTTTCTCTAAACTGAGAATCTTGAAATTGGCACAGTCTCAGTCTTCCAAGGCTTGGACAATGTACCCCCCTTCCTTCTTCATCCCCCAGCTTTATACACTGAGCATGACATTGTACAGTAGAGAATATCCGGTTGGTCAGGTGTGGTAGCTGTGTCCCCTCCCAATTTACTGTGCACCCCCAGTCTGCTTGCTGGTGGGGTGACCTCAGAAGCAGAAAAGGCCTTGGCTCTGTGTAAGCACCTTTCAGCAATAACTAAAACATCCCTGTATTGTCAACAGTGTTTCCAGCACAAATCCAAAACCTTGTCCCATACTAGCTACTATGAAGAAAATTAACTCTATCCCAGCCAAAACCAGCACACATGGTGGGTTTCCAGTCCACCCTGGGCTTCTGGAGTGCTGGTAGGCCTTCTGTTGAAAGAAGCCCTCTGCAGTTGGCTAGAACAGGGTTTTGGTTTTCTTTTTTAAATTCCGTTGCTCACAATCGCTGGAATTGACTGACACAAAAGTTAGTAAGCATAGAGGTTTGGAATATTTTGGCTTCATACCTATTTTTATAAATGGAAAATTTTCTCTAAACTGAGAATCTTGAAATTGGCACAGTCTCAGTCTTCCAAGGCTTGGAAGAGTTGAGGGATTACCCTGGGTTTCTGGCAATTTTGCAAATAGCAGTCATCCTGCAAATACAAGATTAAAGCACTTGAAACTCTTCTCCTTTGTCAGTCTTTTGGCAGGTTTATTTTTCCTCTCTCCTTTCTTCTCCTGTGTCCTCAGTGGAAGTCCTTACACACCACTAAGCATAGTGTATAACTGCTTTGTTTACAGAGTTGAGGATCTCTTCTCACACAGGAGACGGGATTGAACTTTGTTGTTCAGCAACACTCAGAAGAGGTAGCATATTGACACTGGACATACCCACCTTCCTCATTTCCTTACCTCCTGCTCCAAAGCAGGAAAATAGATAAATCTCTGCAATAGCTTTGATAGCTCTAAGGGAGGAGGCAGACTACATGCATCTTCTACATGCTTTCCTGTGATTAAAGAACAAAACCATCTAGTGTCAGAATTAAATACTTGTGCTGGATACATCCTGGCAGTAAAACTGGTGAAGATAAGTGCTGCCAAAAGGGCTTAGAAGCTTTTTCAGAGAGTACTTTGCCAGTGTTTGGGAGCATTCATTTGTGGGCATCTCTCGTTCTATGGGAGATTCTGGTTGTGATATGAGCCTCTTTTGAAATTATTGAGAGTTCTAGTCACAGAAATTAAGTGCTTAGATGTGATTTAGGAATCCTCTGATCTGCTTGGGATTTGTGTAAGATCACATGTGGTCTCCTTCTGGTTGGACACTTTGTCAGGATGGAATTTGAAATCTTTTCAGCACCTTTCCAGGATTTCTAGCAGTTCAAAGTCCTGCTTGGAGTTACTGCTCTGGTGCAGCTGTTGTCTGCTTCTATGTCTGGGGAGGCAGCACTGCAACTGCAGGTCAACTCTTTGTGCATCCCGTTTTCTGTGTGTGGACTGTGTAGGTTTCTTTCTCCTTGTTGAAAAGCTGGATGCAAATGCAGGAAAACTTGCATTTCTCCAGCTTCAGTCTGTGATTTCTAAAGCCTTTTCTTCAGCACATGAACTTCCCAAAGCAGTACTTGTTCTAAAAGTACTGGAGAGCAATTGAATTTCTTTCTGTTTATCATTTCAGGGAGGTTGGGCTAAGGTAATTCATACAGGAATGATGAGAAAGGCATTTTTACCTGAATATTCAAATGTTCAAACCATGTTCAAAAAGTACAGTTGATCTGTGAAGCCACTGAAGTGCTTCTGCAAGCTTGTGTTTGAAGGAAGCTGCACTTCATTCTTGTGCAGTTCTGCGGCGCGGAAGTGGCTTGCCTAAAATTGAGCTTGATTGTATTGCAGGTGATTGAAGCAAACTTGAGTGGAGAAATGAACTTGAAAATAGAAACTGACTTAGTATCTGTAACAACACATTTTAAAGACTTGGGAAATCCTCCCTGGGGTAAGTTCCCCTGTTTGCTGCCTCTCGTGTCTCTCTAATCTCATTGCTTAAGTCTGATGCTGATGACAGTACTCACCTTCTGTTAGTCCTTACAAATAGCATCAAGTACTTTCAAGCCTTTAAACGAAACCTTAAAAAGAAAAGCGGCCAGTGGCTGTTCCACGTTTGTGGCAGGAGTCTCTTCCAGTGTCCTTGACAACTGTAGGGAAACTGGGCTTTGTCTTCCTTGCACTGCTGTTTCTGCAAAACAACATGTCTGAGTTCCAGCTGTTCAGCGATTATCAGGTGTGTCCTTACAGGGACACAAACATCCCTCTGATGTTTTGACTAAGTGTTGTGTTCTCATGCTTTTAGCATCAGAGGATGGATATCAAAGTTCTGCTCAAGACAGAGATCTGGAAAGCATGGCAGAGGCACGCATAGACATCAAGAAGCTGCAGCAGCTGCTTGCTGGACAGCAGGTCAATCCCACAAAAGCATTGTGCAGTAAGTTCAACAGCTCTGCTTGCAAACTCCAGTTAAGGAGGGATGTTTGCCATACTTGTAGTCTTGGCAAAATAGAATATCCACTCTTTAGTCTGTTTGAAACATGACTATTTTTACTCTACCTGAGGACTTCCAATATTTTTGTTTTTAGGCAGTAAGCTTCAGGCCTTATGCCTGAAAAAAACCATTAAAAAAATGAAACCAGGTCCTTTTATAACTATCAAGTTGAATACTCAGACTGGCTAACCATGGGTGTCTTCTTGTTGTCCTTGTTTTAAAGTTATTATTTTTTATTATTATTTTGAGGTAGTATTTTTTTGAAAGACTTAAAACAAAGCCTGTAGTTTCTAGCAGAGAAACTGGGATTTACTGACATGTTTGTTTTGGTTTTGTTTCTCGGTTATTTTCTTACATTCAGCACCAAATTGATTGTAGTAAACAAAATGCTTTTTATGCAGCCTGTGTTTCTAGCCATAGAACTGACACGTTCTTTCTAGCAGAAGGGTATGCAGGGTTTTATATCCTATTTTGATAATGCTGTATACTTTTCCTGAGAACATCTGTTATGGTTTAGTGCAGATCCTAAGAATTTCCCAAGGAAGATTTAATGCGTGGATGTAGCATTATAGGCCTATACTTTACCTGTTTCCTATTTGGTATCAGTTATATAGCATTAAATGATTTAATGCCTATAGCATTATAGGCCTGTACTTTACCTGTTTCCTATTTGGTATCAGTTTTCATAGACTCTTTAGTAGAGCTTCATAGACCCTCAAGGACTTAAATATTACAGGATGATACGTCTAGTCATCCTTCTGTCAGAAGCGGTAGAAGTATTGTATTCTTACGGTGGCATTCTGTAGAAGATGTAATTTTAAAGTATTTTTCCTGCTTTAAACTGGATTTGTGGTTTTGGTTTTGTTTTGTTCTTTTTTTTCTCTTTACAGATATTGTAAGTAAAAGAATTGTCCACTTCATCTTGCTCCATGAAGATGTTTCACTTCAGTATTTTATTCCAGCACTTGCCTGAATGTTTTGGAATCTCAGCCATTTTCCAGCCTGAGGCCTTTTCATGAAGTCTGAAAACTTTCCTGGGTTGTTGGAGTACTCTCATGTTATATGCTGTTAGATGCAGGCATCAGATGGACATTATTCCCCGTATTTGTGAAATTATTCAAAATATCTCCTCATCCAGAAGGTCATTTTCGTGAAGAGTTACATGCTATGACAGACACAACGCTGGGGAGCTGGCGTATCTGACCGTTAAGGGGAGCAAAACAGAGATTTGGACGTGCTTTTGGGATGCTTTGAGCCGTGGGGAAGGCAACGTAGTATTTTTTTTTTTTTTTGTCAACAAACACACAGGTAGAATCGACCTCTGGAGCTGCTGCTAGGTGTATTCAGTGTTGGACAATGCAGCTCTAAGTTCAGGGGTCTCTGAGCCAGCTGTCGTACCTCCGTGGAGCAGGAGAGCCCTCTGGAGGGTTGACAGATTGGTATTTGCCTGGGCAGGTAAGCACAGCTCTCCTGGAGTAGAACTGGATTGACTTCTCTTCCAGCAGTGGTGTAAATGGACTTGATGCTGCTGCGTGTTGTGCAGCAGAAATGTGTCTGAGGCAGAGGAGCTTCCTGTGGCTGCCAGCGTGTAACAGATGTAACACCATCCTGTGCTGGAGCACCAGCAGGTCAGCAGCGTCTGCTTGTACCTGGTTGTATCTTTTGCTCTGACTTGCTCCAGCCTACCTCAGTAGTTCTGTTAGTGCTTGGACTGATGTGTCTGGCTCTTGGCCTGAGAGGATGAGATAAACAGTCTGAATTACCTTGTTAATGTGGGCAGGGAAGGTCTCTGTCTGTGTACAGAATGAATATCGTATGAGGACGTGTGAATACAGCAACTGGAGTGAAATAAAGGGCAGGTTACCTGTGGATCACATTTTTCCCCTTTCCAGATGGAAAGCATTGTACAGCCTGTGTTGTGGTGGGATTGTATCCAAACTCTGATGCCGAGCAGCCAAGAGCATGACTAAGTCTCACTGACAGGAGCACTCCCCTTGGCTTCCTGCTTACCTTCTGAGACCTTTTCCTCTTTATTCCATGTGTGACTGTATTTGTTATCCGGCCACGAGCCATCTAGCCTTTGGTGTTCCACGAGGTTTTGAATATTTTGTGAAGTTTTCTGTTTTAGAAATAGTGAGTGAGTCTTTGCTGCCATATAGGAGTGGGAGTTTCTGCTAGACTAACTCTTGCAGTCAGTAGTGTTGGCTTTGTTGTTTTGTTGTTTGTTTTTTTTCCAAGGGCATCGAGGTTAAGGGAGCAATTAATCTTCTTGATTCAAATGGTTGAGAGAAGGCTGAAGGAGAGGCAGTGGCCTGGGGGTGTTGGGTTTTGTTGGCTTCTTCCACCATTTCTATCAGACTAACCAGGAAGCATCTTTCAAATGCTATTAGTTTTCACAGGCAGCTGCAATTCCCCATCAGTCTGTGTGAGATGAAAATAGCTGTGAGCCAGGGTACAGCAGTTGTATGGTGAGTGGTACATATTCCTGGGTTTTCTCCTGAGGAGAAGGGAAGAACTGTCAGAGTACGATACAGAGTATGCACTGTAAAAGTAGCCTTTGAAGTTTTTTGATTTTCTCCTTTGAAAAATGTGTTCTGTAAAACGCGATGGAAATGGCTTTTTCTGGTGTAGCATAAGAACTAGTAGCAGTGGCCTCTGGGCTATGCTGACTCTATGGTTGCTTTTTTAAAAAAAAGAAGTTAAAATTGCCAGAAGATGTGTTGTGGGTTTTTTTTAATAAAAAGTAGATAAAAGTGGGAGTACAGGCCAGGAGTATGCAGCGAGATGTCCATTTCACATTCTGTTGGGGAAGAGGCCAGGCAGACCCAACAGGGGGTGAAGTCTCTCCAGCCTTCCCAGCTAAATACAGCACAAGGATCACAGCTTGGCCTTGCTGTCCAGTTGACGTATGTATATACCGACCAGAGAGAAGATAATACTTATTCAGGTTTAAATCTGCTGTCATCTGTGAATCCGGTTGTCAGAGCCCTGAGGGCAGCATTGGGCCTTAACAGCCCTGAGCAGCCTCACCAAGGACATCACCCACCCCTGCCCATGAGCCTGCACAGCCTGTTTCAGCTCACAGAATCACAGGATCTTCTAGGTTGGAAGGGACTTTAAAGATCATCTCGTCCAACCGTCAACCTAATTTTGACAAAAATAAACACCCACACAACAAACAAGGAGCATCACCATCCCTAAACCATACCTCCCAGCACTACATCAACCCGTCTTTTGAACACCTCCAGGGATGGTGCCTCAACCACCTCCCTGGGCAGCCCATTCCAATGCCTGATAACCCTTTTCGTGAAAAATTTTTCCTAATATCGAGCCTGAACCTCCCCTGGCGCAACTTGAGGCCATTTCCTCTCGTCCTGTCGCCTGTGACTTGGGAGCAGAGACCGACCCCCACCTCTCTACACCCTCCTTTCAGGGAGTTGGAGAGAGCGAGAAGGTCTCCCCTCAGCCTCCTCTTCTCCAGGCTGAACACCCCCAGCTCCCTCAGCCTCTCCTCACAAGACTTGTGCTCCAGACCCCTCACCATCTTTGTCGCCCTTCTCTGGACCCGCTCCAGCCCCTCGATGTCTTTTTTGTGGTGAGGGGCCCAAAACTGGACACAGCCCTCAAGGTGAGGCCTCACCAGTGCCCAGTCCAGAGGCACCATCACCTCATGAGCCCTACTCCCCACGCTGGTCCTGACCCAGGCCAGGATGCTGGTGGCCTTCTTGGCCACCTGGGCACACTGCTGGCTCCTGTTCAGCCGGTGTCCACCAACACCCCCAGGTCCTTTTCTGCCAGGCAGCTCCAGCCACTCTGCCCCCAGCCTGGAGCGCTGCAGGGGGTTGGTGGGACCCAAGGGCAGGACCTGGCACTTGGCCTTGTTGAACCTCATCCCGTTGGTCTCAGCCCATCCATCCAGCCTGTCCAGATCCCTCTGCAGAACCTTTCTACCCTCCAGCAGGTCAACACTGCCACCCAACTTAGTATCAGGCTGGGGCATCCTGTACTCCCCCAAGCTGTTGTCAGTGGCCTTGGCCCAGGCCAGTTCCTGAACTGATGTTGGAATTTCCTGGATTGGCTTTGGATGGCAGCTGTTGCTCTCACCACCTGGTTCTGCTTGCCTGGTTTAGGTTCTGTGGGCAGGTGCCCCAGCTGTAGGAGGCTTGCATTGTGCACACCCTCTGCTTCTGGCTCCTCCTCGCTTATGGAGTGGTCTTTGCTCTTGCTGCTCCCTAACACCAATAGACATATTTCTCATTAACAGCCCTAGCTGATTCCACGTAATGAACCGATTGTACTGTCCCAGAAAACTGGTTGTGGTTTAAGCCACCAAGACAAAACAGTTCCACGTAATGAACCGATTGTTCTATCCCAGAAAACTTTGGTTGTGGTTTAAGCCACCAAGACAAAACAGTTACAAGCGAGTGGTGGGACTACAAAATAGCTGTTGGACCATCCAGCTTCTCTCCAACACTTCATTGTCCTTATGGACATTTCTGTCAGGCGATGTGAGGAGTGGCCACCGCCACATCCTCTTCCTCCTCTTCACCTGGCAGGGACAGGTCACTAGTGCAGGCACAATGTTCTCTGGTTGTCCATACGGACATTTCTAGGAGTGGCCACCACCACATCCTCTTCCTCCTCTTCACCTGGCAGGGACAGGTCACTAGTGCAGGCACAATGTTCTCTGGCTTCACAAGCACATACACAGTTGTAGATGCCTCAAGTACTGGCACTGCCCGCCTCCTACCCTTGCCCAGGTCCTGGCCCTCTTACCCACCTCCATGGGGTCCTGTTTGCTGGTTTGCCCAGGTCAGTGTGCGCTAGCACACATGCACTCCTGTCCCACAGGCATTCCATACTCATGGACCCCTCTGGATATAGGCACGGGCTCTGCCTGCATCCCCCCCCGACCTAGGCCCTCACACTCACTGGCTTGCCCAGCTTCAAGTTTGATAGAAACACACAGCTGGTTTGGGGAATACACAAGACTGCTCATCAGCTGGCACCAGTGACGTGGGCTGTGTCCCACAGTCCTGCTCTAGCCACCAGCACCAAGCCCCACATGTGCCTCGCTCATGCCAGTGCTTCCCCAGTAGTTGGTTTTGGGGACACACACACATGCCATTCCCCCACCAGTGGCTGGTGGCTGGGACCCCCACACTCACTCTAGTAGCTGACACCACAACCCTTGAACATCTACACCCCAGGTCTGACTCCAGGAGCTGGCACCAATCCCACTCGTGCTGTTCCCCACCTGCAGCTGGCACCTGGTTCTTGCAGCGCGTAGAGATGTGATGGAGAGGGAGGTTATGCAGAGACGGTGAAGAAAGGACTTCCAGGCACCTAGAGATCCCTATGGAACCCTAGGGGACCCTACAGGCACCTACAGATCCCTATGGAACCTTACCAGACCCTACCAGGCCCTATTGGCCCCTATGGATTCCTACAGAACCCTACAAGCACCTACAGATCCCTATGGAACCCTATGGAGCCCTGCAGACCCCTACAGGCCCTATGGAATTCTACCAGCACCTATTGGCCACTATGGAGCCCTACAGAACCCTACGGACCCTGGAGCACCTACACCCCAGGTCTGACTCCAGGAGCTGGCACCAATCCCACTCGTGCTGTTCCCCACCCTGGAGCTGGCACCTGGTTCTTGCAGCACGTAGAGAGGTGATGGAGAGGGAGGTTATGCAGAGACGGTGAAGAAAGGGCTTAATGAGAAGGTAGGACAGATTTCAGTGATGAGCGTGTTGACCAACCCCTTTTATATGCCTTTCTGCCTGCTCCAGCTCTGTGCCTCCCTGCTCCCCTTTGCCCTGCACGCTGCCTCGTCTGTTGGCATAGCTTAATGAGAAGGTAGGACAGATTTCAGTGATGAGCGTGTTGACCAACCCCTTTTATATGCCTTTCTGCCTGCTCCAGCTCTGTGCCTCCCTGCTCCCCTTTGCCCTGCACGCTGCCTCGTCTGTTGGCATATTTCCACCCGCCCCCTCCACCATGCTGGTCCTAGAATCATAGAGTCATTCAGGTTGGAAAAGACCCTTGGGATCATCGAGTCCAACCATCTCCCCTACTCTACAAAGTTCTCCCCTACACCATATCCCCCAACACCACATCTAAATGGCTCTTAAACTCATCCAGGGATGGTGACTCAACCACCTCCCTGAGCAGCCTATTCCAGTGTCTGACCACTCTCTCTGTGAAAAACTCTTTCCTAATGTTCAGTTTAAACATACCCTGTTGGAGCTTGAAGCCATTTCCTCATGTTCTATCGCTACCTGTGAGAAGAGACCAGCACCAACCTCTCTACATTGTCCTTTCCAGTAGCTGTAGAGAGTGATGCGGTCTCCCCTCAGCCTCCTCTTCCTCAAACTAAACAGTCCCAGCTCCTTCAATCGCTCCTGGTCCCTGAGGTTTGCATCTTGGTAGCTTGCAAAGTCCCATTTGTCCCGTGGGTCCCTGAGGTTTGCATCTTGATTGCTTGCAAAGTCCCATTTGTCCCGTGCTGCGGGTTGACCCCAGTAGGCAGAACCCTAACCCTAACCCGTGTGGCTGGTGGCTCCCTCTCCCCGGCTGGGATGGGGGAGAGACTCAGAGCGGTGGAAGTGAGGAAACTCGTGGGCTGAGATAAAGATGGGTCAATCCGTGAGGCAAAAGCAAAACACAAAAGCAGTTCCCTCCCCACTCCCCCCCAGCAGCAGGGGTTGGGCTGGCTCCAGCAAAGCGAGGCTCCGTGACGCGGAGTCCTGACTTGGGAAGACAAACACCCTTGCTCCAAATGCCCTCCCCTTCTTCTTTTCCCCAACTGAGCCTGTGGGATACCCCTTCACTCAGCTGTCCCAGCTGCCTGCCCCCCCAGCTTCTCCTGCAGCCCCAGCCCGTGTGCTGGTGGGGTGGGTGAGAGAGGTCCTCGGTGCTGTGCCAGCACTGCTCAGCAGGGACCACGACATGGGGGTGTTACCAGCACTGCTTTTGGTCACAGCTCCAGACCATAGCCCCCTGTGAGCTACTGTGAAGAGAATTAACTATATCCCAGCCAAAAGCAATGTAGCCTGCAGTAATTCACCATTAGTGTGAATGATTGGGACGTGGGGTTTGGTTTTGTTTCCTGAGTATTGGCTTTGTCAATGCTAATTGATCTGGTTTCATAGCTGTGTGTTTGTCTCCTTTTCCTTACCATCCCAGCATAGGATGAGCTCCCTCAGACAGCCTGGCTGTGGTGAGGGTTCTGGCACTCCCACCCAGGCTGTCTCTCTTGTCCTTTGTCCAGCAGTGTCCCTTTATGTTCTTGTTTATGGTTTCCTTCTCTTCTTCTTAGCCTTTTTTTTTGCGTTGAAAAGGTCCTTGACTAGATACCCTTAAGGGACCATTAAAGGTCCTTCTTCCACATTCTCTTGCAGTTTTTCAATCCTTTCATGGATCTTACTCTGAAGACTAGCAAATTGTTTTCTCCAAACAGAGTTTGGTGATGGTTTGTCAGGCAATATATACTTTAAATGATTCTAATTTTATTTGTGGTATTCTGAAAGTGGATATTAATGCTTGCAAGGGACTGTACACAGTTGCTGTCTTGTAGCTGCCTGGGAAACCCCCTGTGAAGGTTCTTGGGGGCTGTGGGTGAGTGGGAGCAGCTGGTGACACCCCTGTTCTCCTGCCTCAGCACCTTCGCTCCCGCTCTATGCACACAGGTGCCTACATGCTC